ACAAAAACAAAAGGCAGGGACAAGAACTAAGGCATCAGAGACCATAGCCAAGAGACACTGCTTTGGAACTGGGTCCATGAGAGGACAAGGACAGGAACTGGTGAAAAAGGAACAGCAAGGCCAAGGGGAACCAGCTGAGAGAGCAAGTGGCACACACAAGGGTTTATAACCACAAGAACAGATTTCATCAAGAGCTTTAAGCTGAAGCCTAGATCCCTAAATCTCCGTGTTTCTGTGCTTCTTGCTGTTGGTTCTGAGCCCTGCAGACAAAGGATGAAGTGTTGCCCTTGGGTATCTATGCGGTAGAAGACCTTTAAAAAAACATAACAGCCCAATAGTTCCTCTATACTCTGGCTCAGGTAGCTTAAATATAAGGATCTCTACTCTAGATCTGATACTACTTTGCTAGGGACCTAGCTGGAAACCACTGTGATATTCTGCATGCTAGAATGTTCTTGGATTTTCACCTTTCAGGCACAGATACAGAAATATTCCTGGGAAAAAAAAAAAAAAAAAGTGTCAAAATTCGAGCTTGATCATTTTTATTTCAAATCGCTTCTCTGATGAAAAATTATGTCTAAGAATTGAATTATCTTTAGCTGAAACTACAACTTCTGTTTGGATATACCACTCTGTGGCATCCTATAACAGATGCCAGATATACCCAGCATCTTCTAAAGTCTCCTTAGCCAAAGGACCAAATGTCATGTCATTCCCAGAGTACCACAAAACAGCACGATCTCAGGTCCTTGGCATTAGTGATAAAACCCATCACCCTCGTGAGAAATGGTATGTTCAGGCAATCTGACTACAGGAGCAAAGGGAAAAGTAAAGCATGTGTCACTAATTATTAATTTGTCTTGCTTATGTCCAGTTAGTGATATCTGGATCCTGACCTGTCCATGACAAGCAAGTCTGACTGCAAGTGAACCCAATGAGAGACATCTTGCAAACACAAAAAGGGCTTCAAAAGGCCAATGGCACAGACAGATGAGCTCTGGTGCATGCTTGGCAAGCTTTAAGATATCCCTGCTGCGTGGCTGACAAAACACAACATCAGCCACATCACTGCAAAATCTGGAGCAGTACTTCAAAATCTCTAATTAAGGTGGCTTTAAGCAAAGGTGCTGCTCTGCACAAAGCAGAAGTACATGTACTTCTGTCAGTTCTATCGAAGGAAAAGTCATCCCTAGGAATCACAGACCAGGCACTTAAAATTAGTAGACATTTTTACCATGACCTACCTTAATGTCCTCGTGTCCTGGTTCCACTGTGGATAACAATAGCACCTGGTATCACAGGTATGTCATAAAGAATACATCAACATTCATAGGTAAGTCAGATATTAAAGGGGAAAGCATAATAGAACAGGCTGTAGGAAACAGTTTTAATATATCAATTCAATTTGGAAAGAGGAAGGTTAGCAAATGATGTACAAATGATATACGACATTGCTTATCCTCCTAATGAATGAGGAAAGTAAAGAACATCACATGAATATCTTCATTAAGAGCACACCATAATGCATTTACACAAAGAAATGGTATGGGATACCTCTCTTCTGGCACTGCCCAATTCTTTAAGACACAAATTACATGTATTTCTCATGTGGTTTTTTTTAGGTTAATGTCCTTAGCAAAGGATAGTTTAAACAAGTAGCACATTTCTGTAGTTCAATTCTAGGGACCAAGAAAAACTAAAAGGTTTACGCAGCTAACAAATGCTTACCCTGTAACCAACAGACACAACTGCAAAAGGCTCCAGCTGCCATTATGTCCATGTGATAACTAGGTCAGACTAAACAAAGTAGTAGATTTAAAGGAGAGTTATGAATTTAATATGAATAAAGGCTACATAAGGTTGTCAAGTCAGGGAAGGGCCACTGAGAACCCCCAAATCAATTTTTTTTATATTTTTGTTTCTCAGATGACAAAGGTGATTGTTTGCAATAGTAAAAATAAGGCAACAAAGGTGCCTAAAGAACCTGAGTGTGAAGAAAATGCACTTAAAATCTAATGAGATCAGGCAACCTGAAAAAAAATAATTAAGAAAAGCTGGCTTAGATAAAATAAGAATATTCACAAGCTATTCCAAAGACCTGTAATCTGGGGGGAAAAGAAAGGGGGTGGGTTGGAAGGAGAACAAATAAATGTATTAGCTAATAAGCAGGAAGATAATACAGTGTCTCCAACCATAGAAAATGGAATCAGTATTTTTGCTGTCAGGTACCCTTGGCCTGGAAGGACAAGGGGTTTGTTGGCACTTTTAATCTACAATAGAGATGGTTTTACATGCCTTTGGTTTCATAAAATCTATCAGCACTATTTTATTTTTCACAATTGACCTGGGCACAAGAGGCATCATGACAAACAAGAAGGAAAAAAGTATCTTCTTGGTTTCCATGTACAAAACATTATAAAGCACAACAGGTCATCTGAAAAATCCATCTTCAGAAAACACAAATAAAGATCAGCAAAAGCTTCCTGCACTGTAAGTGGTTTTAAAACAATTGTCACAGAGTCTGATGACATATAAGCCATAAAAAGCCATGCGAGTCTGGGAACAAAACTGAAAATAATGCAGAAGAGAAGCAATAATCAGTGTATTTGGTTATTCCTTGGAAGAGAAAACTCCACAAACAAAGCAGGGTTCTGGTAACGGGACTGCACCTTCCAACAACCTCTCTTAGCAATGGCAGCACATTCCAAGAACTCCAATTTCATACCCTGCTTCGGTTTGGATTTCAAATGACCAAAAAACCGCTGCAATTTATTCAAGAGACTCCAGAGATAAACAAACGTGTCAAGGAGAAAAGGGGGAAAAACCCATGAGAGGTGCACTTGAGAGCTGTTGGCAGGGTGAGCTCCTGGGACGGCAGAGCTGGGAGGTGCCCGCACCGGGGGTTCCCTCCCTGCACCCGCCCTGCCCAAACCCGGCACCTTTCCATCCCCTGCACGCACCAGGCTGTTTCCGGGAGCCAAAGCAACAAACCGCATTGTGAATAAGCCTGGAACAAAAGCAGAGAGACACCTCCCAGCCCCGGGTATTTGATTCACAGAGCGGCTACACCAAAGGTGATGCTGGAGGGAAACACATCGGACGCAAAGCTCGGCGGGGAGGATGTGAAGGTGCAACCCCCCGGCGGGCACAGCACGTCCGTGTCCCCAGGTGGCTGAACCACCACCGCCTCAGAAGGACCTGCCCACCCTGCAGCCGA